GGTCCTTCAGATACGTGAGAAGTCAGAAGAAAAACAGGGCAACACTGGACCCCTGCTAAACCAACTGGGGCAGCTGACAACCGACACCCAATGATTATTTTGCATCAGTTTTTCACCAGCCCAAAAAGACCACCCTGCCTAACATGATGCAGGATGACCTGGGTGAGAGTGAACATATGCCCACCACTGGTGTAGATCTTGTGAGAGAGCACCTTGAGAGGCTGAACAGCCACAAATCAACTGATCTGAATAGACTGCACCCAAGAGTGCTAAATGAAGTGGCAAACACCATAGTGCAGCCACTGGCAAGGATATTCGAGACTCGTGGCGCCTGGGCAAAGTACCTGAAGACTGAAAGAGGGCCAATGTGGTGCCTATCTTGAAGAAAGGGAGGAAAAAAGATCCAGGAAACTAAAGGCCAATCATTTTGACCTCAATCTCTGGAAAGAGCTTGGAAAAAATTATCAAAGAAACCATTCTTGACAGGCTAACAGAAGGCAACATTCTGAGGGATAGCCAGCACAGGTTTGCTGCAAGTAGGTCTTGCCTGACCAATCTTATTTCCTTCTATGACCAGGTGTTGCATCACCTGGACAAAAAGGAAGAGGTTGATATTATATATCTGGACTTTAAAAAAGCCTTTGACCTGGTGTCCCATGCTGTGCTTGTGGAAAAACTGTGCAACTCCAGCCTCGACTACACTACAGTCTGACAACTGGGGAACTGGCTCTGAGGTCAGACCCAGAGAGTGGTGGCTGACGGAACCAAATCAACATGGCCCTCAGTGTCCAGTGGTGTCACCCAAGGCTCTGTTCTTAGACCTGTACTCTTTAATATCTTTATAAACAACCTGGACTCTGGTGTCAGAAGAGGACTGGCCAAGTTCGATGATGACACCTAACTTTGGGGACCAGTATTCACACTTGAGGGTAGGCTGCTGATCCAGGCTGACCTTGATAAGCTTGCAAGGTGGGCAGATGAAAACCTGGTGGCATTCAATACAGAGAATGCAAGGTGCTCCACCTCAGGGAAAAAACCCCCACATCACACTTATAGGCCGGGCAGTGCTACGTTCGCTAGCACCACAGCTGAAAGAGAGTTGGCAGTCATGGCTGACCACAAAATGAATATGAGCCACCAATGCGATACTGCAGCCAGCAAAGTGAATGAAACTCTGGCTTGCATCTACTGATGCATCTCAAGCAAGACCCCGGATGTCATCCTCCCACCGTACTCGGACTTGGTGAGACCGCAGCTGGAGTACTGCATCCAATTCTGAGCTCCACAATTCAGGAAGGATGTGGAGAAGCTTGAAAGGGTCCAGAGGAGAGCCATGCACATGATTAGAAGGCAAGAGAACAGGCCACGTGCATGATCAGAGGGAATGTGCATGGTCAGAGGGCAAGAGAGCAACCATATGAAGAGAGGCTGCAAGCTATGGGACTCTTCAGCCTGGAGAAGCAGAGGCTCATGGGTGACTTGGTGGCAGCCTATAAGTACACAATGGGTATGCATTAGGATCAGGGGGAACACCTGCTCACCAGAGCACCACAAGGGATGACAAGGTCCAATGTCCAAAACTCCTGCAAGACAGTTTTAGGCTGGACTTAAGGAAAAACTTCTTTACTGTCTGACCCGTCAAGGCCTGGAATAGACTCCCCCCAGAGGTGGTGCAAGCACCTACTCTGGATACTTTTAAGAAATATTTGGATGCTTATCTTGCTGGGATCCTCTGACCCTAGCTGACTTTCTGCCCTTTGGGCAGGGGGCTGGACCTGATCATCTTATGAAGTCCCTTCCAGCCCTAATGTCTACGAAATCTATGAAGTCCATTCCCTCCACAGCTGCCCTCTCATCCCTCTGATATACCTAAGGTATGTCAATGGCATCATTATACTGACACATGGGAAGGAATCTCTTGAGAAATTTCACCAGGACTTACAACATCTTCTACTCCTCCATCAAAATAACTCTGGAATACTCCACCCAGGACATCCATTTCTTAGGAACTATGGTGAAGATTTGTAATAGTCACACTGCCACTGCATTGTATTGGAAACCCACCTAACACCACACCTACCTTCATGCTTTCATCTTAAGCATACCACTATATCCATCATCTCCAGCCAAGCTCTATGTTACAACTGTATCTGCTCTGTTCTTTCTGACCAAGACGCACACTTTAAGGATCTGGCCTAGGGATTCCTACAATACAATCCCCAAACTGTAGCTACTCAAATCAACCAAGCCAGACTCAAACCTCCCTCCAACCTGCCACAACACCAGCCTTGAGACAAAGACAACAGAGTCCTTCTGGTTGTCACTGGAAGCACCCAGTTTGGACACACGATAAATTACCTCCAAGCCTTCCTGGATAAGGATGACCATCTCAAGGTATTGGCCATCATGGCCAAACTTGTCCTGATTTACAGACAACTCTCTCAAGTTCAAATGGCAACAGGCTACCAACTCCTATTGTCACCAAGGCACCAGGCCTTCCACTGCCCCAGATGCAAGCTGTACCCCCTCATCAAAACAGGTCACATCATCACAGGACCAAATAACCCAGATGATGACAACCAAGGTTCATACACATGCACCTTTACCAATGCCATATATGACATCACCCACTTACAGTGCTCCTCTGCTGCCTACACTGGACAGATGGGGTGATTCCTAAATGTAAGAATTAATGAACAATCTGACACCAGTTCCAGAAAGACAGACAAGCCTGTGACAGAACATTTTAAACTTCCATTGCATTGCTGTGAGCCCAGAGTAGCTGGTCTTAAGACAACAAAGTTTTAAAAGAGAAACTTGAATGTGAAACTGCAGAAAAAGAAACCAACCACAAATTGGATTTTGTTAGGTATGGTCTGAACAGGGACTACAGACTCTTATCCTATTACCTTCTTGCCTTCTGCCTCATTTAAAAGCAAAGCCAGATAAGAAAAGCTCCACTCCCTCTCCCACATGCACACATTTTCCCCTCTAGAAAGTCTAAACCTCAAAATGGAACACTATTCAATTATTATTACTAGTAATATTTTACTAGGAACCCAAGATTTCTGGATGTTCAGTCTGTGTCTATCTGTGACAGCTGTAAAATATTAAGCTTTAAAATTTCAACTCTATGATATGTGAAAAAGCTATTATTAGGCTTCAAGACAAGTTCTTAATATTTCTTAGTTAAACGTCCCTCTTTCAAAAGCCTGTGTAGCTGCACTCATAACAGGAGTCTAGTTTTAGAGCTAAAGAACAAAAATCAATTACATATATTTTCCTTCATTCTGTAGAAAAATAAATTCTAAAATAGTTGCCATAAATTAGAACATAAAAAATCATGACATGTTAAATGTGATTTAAAGGTTTTAGTAATAACTCATTTGGGGCAATCTATTTACAGCCAGAATAGTTGCGAGTATTGCAGCCATCTAAACTGTATGACAATGAAATCACACCACATTATCATGTTGTTTTAGATGCATCACTTAGCTTGTTTATATATTCACTTCAGTTAGAACAGGATTTGACCCAAGAAGTAAGATGTATGTGTGATATGATTTCATATTAGCCCACTCCTGCAGACCTAAATGAATGGTGAGATTGTTCCAATATAAATCCTTCAATTAATCATCACAGAATAAAAAATGGACTTTATTTCATTTGTGTACTAGGTTTTCCTTGGTTAAAGTACTACAGGAGTTTCATGGGTTAAGAAATCAGCTATAACCTGACAACTATGAAATGCCTCTTTTATTACATATATTAATACCTGCAGTAGCCATCATATTGAAATAGTTTTTATATATGATACTATATAGAAGCATTTACGTATGTACAAAACTGTTTTGAAGATGACTTGCAATTGGAAGAGGAAAAGGGGTCTTGAAAGATTGTTTTTTCTTTGCTTCTCCATAATGCATACAGGAAGAATAAGCTTTTGTCTTTGTCTTCACCCCTGTTGTTCCCCAAGGTATGGGGGAAGGCTGCTGCTTTTGCTAACTGGACTTATAAATTTAATCCATCCTGGATAATGTTATGGTGACATAAGACCTAGTGCAAGAAAGTAAAAGCAGTGTAACAAAGATAAAGAAGGTATTCGTCATCAGATTCACTGTCTGTTAGATACGTGAATAAGCTTTTTAATATCAATGGTTGAGGAACACTTGAAGTTTATCTGTTAAAATTTAATACCCAGCTACCTTTTGATTAAAAGTTCACAGCATGTATGATCTGAGGTGACCATGTTCCTCCATCAAAAAACAGGAAGGATTGCATATGTGCTCAGAATATTTCCAAAGGGGGGGAAAAAAAAAATCGTGAAGATTTTTTTTTCTTTCAGGACTTCTTCACGCAACACAATCAAAAACATGACAAAATCTTTAAAAATGTTTTGTCTTCAATATAATAGATGAACATCACAAAATAAGTAAAATGTAGAAGTTGCAAATACAGGAATTTTTAAAGTTTCTATGAAGGAAAGAAAACTCTCACCCTAGCAAAGAAAATCACTTCCTTAACACAATATTATACATTTACATTTGGAATAACCACATTATTAGTGAAACAAACACTATTCTCTAGCTTACAT